GTTTTTAGTAGAGACGGGCTTTTACCATGTTGGTCAGGCTGGTCTCGAACTCCTGACCTCAGGTGATCCACCACCTCAGCCTCCCAAAGTGCTAGGATTACAGGCATGAGCCTCCGCGCCTGGGTAAGTTAAATTTTTAAAATCTGGTAACTGTACCATGGTTATATTGGAGAAAATCTTTGTTTTTAGGAAATACTGAAGTATTAAGGGGTATAGAGACATGATGTATGCAACCTACTCTCAGGTAATTCATTAAAAAAAATACACATGTTGCACACACATATGATATGGTGATGAATAAAAAGCAAAAACTGTTATTAGTTGGTGACTCTAGGTAAAGCGTCTTTGAGGACTCTTCATACTATCCTTGTAACTTTTCTCTAAGTTTGATGTCATTTATCTCTCAATCTCTATCTCTCTCTTTCTCCATATATTCCATAACCTATGAAGGAAAAAATCCACATGCCAATAATTACCAAACTAATTTTCTGGCCAACACCAAGTTACAGTCACAAATGAAGAGAGATTTGGAGAAATGTAGCCACGTACTCCCTTTTGAGGTTTTCTTTATAATAACTCAGCATTAAAGAATTTGAAATAAGTAAAACCTAAGAAATGATTTAAGAGATGGCAAAAAGAATTACACCATAAACGATAAAGATTTATATATGATTAAACAATTTTACAGCTTGGGCAACATAATGAGAGAGACCCCAACACTACAAAAAATTTTAAAATGAGTCCGGGCGCAGTGGCTCATGCTTATAATCCCAAAACTTTGGGAGGCCAAGGTGGGTGGATTACTTGAGGCCAGGAGTTCAAGATCAGACTGGGCAACATGGTGAAACGCTGTGTCTACTAAATAAATAAATAAATAAATAAATAAATAAATAAATAAAACATATGTGCAGGTTTGTTATAAATGTTAAAATAATAAGTAAATAAATTAGCCAAGTGTGACGGCGCATGCTGTGAGTCCCAGCTACTTGGGAGGCTGAGGTGGGAGGATCACTTTGAGCCTGGAAGTTCAAGGCTGCAGTGAGCTGAGACTGCACTACTACACTCCAGCATGGGTGACAGAGCGAGACTCTGTTTCAAAAAACTAATAAGAAGAAGAAAAAAAAATATTTCAAATATTTTCTGGGATCAAATATTTATTATATGTAGCCTCCTTAAAATATTTGAACATGACATACAAAATTTATGATTCCTTTCTGAATCTAAGTCTTGCTTAACATATTAGTAATAATTTTATTTGCTAAGGCCTCAGCAGAGCAGTTTCTCCATATTAAAATTAATTTTTTGGCCAGGCGCAGTGGCTCGCGCCTGTAATCCCAGAACTTTGGGAGGCCGAGGCAGGTGGATCACCTAAGGTCAGGAGTTCAAGACCAGCCTGGCCAACATGGTGAAACCCCCTTTCTACAAAAATACAGAAAGTAACCCTGCGCCCGACGAGCGGGCTTCTGGGAACTTGGCAGACGCAGATTAGAAATACTCACCAGCGAGCATCATTGTTGTCTTTCTGGGAATTCATTCCCATGAGATCAGAACCTCTTCGAAAGAAGAAGGAGGTAGATCCTAAAAAAGACCAAGCAGCAAAGGAGCGCTTGAAAAGAAGGATCCGAAAACTGGAAAAAGCTAGTCAAGAGCTAATTCCTATTGAAGATTTTATTACCCCTCTAAAGTTCTTGGATAAAGCAAGACAGCGGCCTCAGGTGGAGCTCACCTTTGAGGAGACTGAGAGGAGAGCTCTGCTTCTGAAGAAGTGGTCCTTGTACAAGCAGCAAGAGCATAAGATGGAGAGGGACACCATCAGGGCCATGCTAGAAGCCCAGCAGGAAGCTCTGGAGGAACTGCGACTCGAGTCCCCGAAGCTCCATGCTGAGGCCATCAAGCGGGATCCCAACCTGTTCCCCTTTGAGAGGGAAGGGCCATGTTACACACCACCGATCCCTAACTACCAGCCCCCTGAAGGCAAGTACAGTGACGTCACCAAGGTGTACACACAAGTGGAGTTTAAGAGATAGACTTGCAGGCTGCTTTCCTTAACATGCTGCCCCTGAGAGTAGGAATGACCAGGGTTCAAGTCTGCTTTCCACAGAATCAGGCATGCTGTTAATAAATACTGGTTTAATCAAAATGAAAAAAAAAAAAAAATACAGAAAGTAGCTGGGCATGATGGTGGGTACCTGTAATCCCAGCTACTCAGGAGGCCGAAGTAGGAGAATCGCTTGAAACCAGGAGGCAGAGATTGCAGTAAGCCAAGATCGTGCCATTGCCCTCTAGCCTGGGTGACAGAATGAGACTCCATCTCAAAAAATAATAATAATAATTAATTAATTATTTAAGGCCGGGCACGGTGGCTCACACTTGTAATCCCAGCATTTTGGGAGGCAGAGGCGGGCAAATCACTTGAGCCCAGGAGCTCAAGACCAGCCTGGGCAACATGGCAAAACCCCATCACTACCAAAAAAACAAAAACAAAAATTAGCTGAGTGCAGTGGCACAGTGATCGCAGCTACTTGGGAGGCTGAGGTGGGAGACTCACTTGAGCCCATGTTGCAGAGGTTGCACTGCAGTGCAGATGTTGCAGTGAGCTGAGATGGCATCACTGCATTCCAGTCTGGTGACAGAGTGAGACCCTGTCTCAAAAACAAAAACAAAAACAAATTGCCCGGGGCGCGGTGGCACATGCCTGTAATCCCAGCAGTTTGGGAGGCCAAAGCAGGTGTATCACTTGAGGTCAGGAGTTGGAGACCTGCCTGGCCAACATGGTGAAACCTTGTCTCTACCAAAAACACAAAAAATTAGTAGGGCATGGTGGCATGTGCCTGTAATCCCAGCTATTTGGGAGGCTGAAGCAGGAGAATCACTTGAACCTGGAAGGCGGAGGGTGCAGTGAGCTGAGGTCGCACACACTGCAGTCCAGCCTGGGCAACAGAGCGAGACTGTCTCAAGAAATATATATATATTATTTTTTTGAAGACGTCAGAACAACTATGACTCAAGAAAGGCCAATTAATTTGGCATTACTGGCAATAGAACATGAATTATGAGAAATGTTTTATTATAACAACATAATTAAGGAATTTCCTGAAGTGAAGGCAAGGAAAATTAATTTATGGAATAAATAGATAATTATGAATTGTGTATCACTTTATTACTCATCTAAATATTGCTAGTCCATCATAAGGGTACCCAGGCAATAATATATGTAATAATACATGCAATAATAGCTAAGTTAACTTATCTTGGATATTTTGTTGACTTTGGATCATAAAAAAACCATAGCTTTACTTTTTTTTTTTTTTTTTT